GAACCGACTCGATGGCACATAACAACAACAACATAGATAGATAGATAGATAGATAGATAGATAGATAGATAGATAGATAGATAACATATTACCTCTTAAAATGGTTGAACATATATATGAGTGCTTGTGGTTCTGAAGTATAAGCACTGTACTGCTAACCACAAGGTCAGCATTTCAATCCCATCAGCTGCTCCCATAGAGAAAGATGGAGCTTTCTGCTCCCATAAAGATTTATAGCTTCAGAAATTCTATACAGGCTCCCTATGAGTCAGAACTGACTTGGTTGTAACTAATAACAAACTGACGACAATGTAAATATATGTTCTTGTGCAATTGTAATTGACCCTATAAAAATACCAAGAAGGTCCTGTAAGTAACTTTTCCATACAAATAAAAGTTTATAAATTCTACCAGTATATCTTATTCCATTAAAACAATGAGTATTTAGAGAAATGTAAGTAAGAGTTTTATTCTGGCCCAAAGTCTGCTGTTTGATAGTGATAATCGATATTACAATTTGCTTCTTCAACCTGTTTGTGAAATCCTTTTACATATGAAAATACATACTCATGAAGTATGTAACTCAGAGTGTATGGGAACAACAGTGTATTTATTTTAGTTCCTTTTTTTAGTTGGATGAAACCAGGTAAAGTTTTACCATTCTTCCCATTTAATTTTGTTTTAATTTAATTGTTAGGGATATAAAAATGCATTTTGTATATCAATAGAAAAATATATATTTGTGACCTTTTTAATATAAAATGTTAATTATCAAATGTATAATTTATTCTTTTTATTTGTGACTCTGAACTGGAATATGATTAAGCTGATAAATAATATTATAAGTATTTTTGGTACCATGATAATATTTTATGCATTTATAGCATTTTAAGGTACATAAATGTGTTTTTGCATGTATTTGCACATGTATTTCTACATTTGATTCTCATTAGCAACTAGTGGAGCAAGTAGCACAGTATAATTCTTAATTAAGAAGAGAATAAAGCTAAAAATAATTAGGGTACTTCTTTGGGTTATACACAGTCTATTAGAGGAGGCAGAATTGAAAACCCCAGACTTCTTTCTCCCTATCCTCAATTCATTTAAACTCAATTTTCCATTATTTAAAACAGGTTATTAAGGTTTTTTGCTTGTTTGTTTGTTTAATTTCAAGAAGTCATTCAAAATCAATTAACCAGTACTTAAAACCCTCAAAAACCAGGCCTTCATTTGAAATTAGCTGAGTGACAGCATAGCTTCCCTCATTCTGGACTCACAATATGATTCTTCTTTGTCTGGATAAGGAAAACACATTTCTAATCAATTGTACTTACTGGTCTTTGGCTTTGGTGTTCCCTTTATTACACATATCTTTCTCTGTGGGCAATTCAACTGCCTGCAACTTGAGTGGTTGAGCAGCTGGCATGAAGTAAGTGCACACAAAAATGTCCATGGGTGTCTTTTCCTGACAACAGTCCTCAAATTTAGAATTCTTGGTGGATAAATTGTCACAGATTTTTACCGTGTGTTCAGGCAACTACAAAAAAGAATGATGAATGTGCAGTTAGTTTCCTGACTGGTTTAATTAAAAGTAAGATACATCCAAAATTCCTGACAGCATGCTTGTGAAAGACAGCATGAATGCTCTCAGAAATTAAGTTGGTACAATTGATTTGGGAGGTAATTTATTAATATGTATTAAAAACCTTAGAAATTTATAATTTCACATTATAAGAATTTATCCTCAGAAAACATTTTGCATAAGGGAAAATGTAGCTATAATGCTGTTAAATCTAATATTGCTTAAAATGTTGAAAAATTAAGACAATCAAAATTGATAATTGTGTACTGACTAAATAAATATATAGTACATTTAGCTAGTTAAATTTAATACATGCAATAGTCCTTCTTAGGCATTATCAAACAGATTATAAAAAAAAAAAACCACATAGTAACACAAACATTGTTGGAAAAAAACACACAAAAAGGTTAACACAAACCTTTTCTTAAAGAAGTTGCTAAGATTTTGGAGTACCAACCTTTATCTAAAGCAAAACGTCAAGGTTTTTTTTTTTGTCAGATTTGGGAAACTTTGCATCTATAAAGTTGCTGAAATTTCTATCAACTTGAAATGATATGTAAATGAAAAATGTTGAAAAAAATGGAAACATCAAACCATGGAAGATACTATAAAAGTATCAATAACTTCTATTAAAATAATATGTAGCACTGTCCAACAAGCCTTTATGCAATGGTGGAACTCATTGATATCTGTGCTATCCAAAACTAATGAGCACTTAAACACTTGCAATGTGGCTAGTATCATGGAAGAATTGTATTGGATATTTTGTTTAATTTTGATTAGTTATAATTCAATTTAAGTAACCATATACTTTGTTATTGTTTTTATGCTAAGTGCTGTGAAGTTGGTTTCCAAGGAATGGCTGGTGGGTTAAAACCTCCGACCATGGGACTAGCAGTGAAGTGCTTATTCCACAGCATCCTACCTGTAGTGGATATTATTTTGGACAGTTCAGGTAGAACAAGATCTTAAGAATCAAATAATCTTGTCCTTGAGTATGGAGCATGACATTTACTATCTGTGTGACCTTGAGTTGTTGAAATTTGTTCAGTCTTCAGTTTTCTCACTTATTAAGATGGAGCTAACAATACATCTCATAGGTTATGTTTGAGTATTCATTGAGATGATACATGTGGAAAACAGCTTAGAAGAGTGTCTGCCACTCAGTCAAAGGCATAAATAGCAAGGTCCATGATGCTGGTCACAATGAGGGTTTCTCTTACCTCCTTTGCCATGCAGTCCTCAGAAGCTGACTCACAGCACTTGGAAAGAATGTTAGTAACATCTTCAGCTAGTGGCAAAACATCCTCCAGATCAGCAGTAGGTGCTTTTTGGGCTAATTTTATAAGATGGCTAAGCAGTTAAAAATGAGTTTGTTAGCAACCAACACTGTTAACTTTTTTCTTTTCATTATGACCACACTGTCTTGAGGAATGATACTAGACTTTAATGCTTGAGCCTCAACAGTTGCATGGAACATATCTGTCATGCTATGGATTCTATATGCCAAAGCTGTTGACTAAAGAAAACAAAAAACTTCAGCACCAATGCATCTTTTCAAGTGTTAAATACTCATGTGCTTCACTTCTGGTCAGATCTAATTGTTTGAAGCATGCTGTTAAAACATCACATCTAAATCAGAAATAAAGAAAACAATCATATTTCTCTATTCAAAGGCAAAATTGTGTTTCTGTGATTCACAACATCCTCTTAAATATATTTAAAGAAATTCACTTACTAAATACAGATGAAATAAATGAAAAGTAAAGGTGAATCATCCTAAGCCACAGAGTTAAAAAAAAAAAAAAATTGGTTTTGGTGTTTGACTGTTAAGTACTTCATAAGGTTTACATGTGCGAATGGAATTAATTACACTTTGATACGTAATTCTCATATATGAATTTCTTCAATTAATATATTAGGAATAAGTTTCATATTATAAAGATTCTTTTACAATAGAATTTTAACAAACTACATGGGATTCTTTCATTTAAAATCACCATAATAAATTTGAGCAATTATTTATTCAAAGGATATTTAAAGAATGGTCATCTTTCTTCCTATGCAAAACATTGTAGCAGGAATACTTTGTAGTTAACTCTTGTTCACACCTAAAACTATTTCTTTGGGTAAATTCATGGCATCGATATCAATATAAATATATGATTAATTGAGCACTTTAAAAGATAAATTTCTATGTTTTAATAGTTCGATACACTGAGAGTATAACAAGTTAAAAATTTAGGATGTATCATTCCAAGAAAAATTTAAGCAAAGCAAATAATGTATGATGCACAAAAAGATGATATGTTTAATTTTTATGTTTGAAATATGAGAATTGGGTATATGCTTTCCACTGGTCTACAAATTGTTCCATGCAGAAAAATATATGGACAAGGTTCACTAAAAGCAAATCTCATTTTTTATAATATAATCTAGTTCTGTAATATTCATGTTTTATAAGGAAAAATAACCAGCTATTCTTTTGAGGAGTTGTTGTTCTTAGGTGCTGTTTCAACTCACAGTAACCCTATGTGCACAATAGAATGAAACACTTTCTGGTTTTGCACCATCCTCACAACCATTGTTATGCTTGAGACCATTGCTGTTGCCATGGTTCCAATCCATCTCTTTGGTGGTCTTCCTCTTTTTCACTGATCCATCACTTTACCTAGCATAATGTCCTTCTCCAGTGACTGGTCCCTTCTGATAATATGTCCTGAGTAAGAGAAACAAATTCTGGCCATCTTGGCATCTAAGAAGCATTCTGGCTGTACTTCTTCCAACACAGATTTGTTTGTTTTTATGGCAGTCAATGGTACTTTCGATAATCTTCTCTAACACTGTAATTCAAATGCATCAATTCTTCAATGATCTTCCTTAGTCACTGTCTAACTTTCACATGCATATGAAGCTGTTGAACATACTATGGTTTGGGTCAGGCACAACTTAGTCCTCAAACTGACATTTTTGCTCTTGGACACCTTAAAGCAGTCTTGTGCAGCAAGCAGGTTTGCCTAAGTCAATATGTAATTTGATTTGTTGACTGCTGCTTCCATAAGTGCTGATAGTGGATCCAAGCAAAATGAAGTCTTTGATAATGTCAAACTTTTCTTCATTTATCATGTTGATATTTATTTATCCAGTGGTAGTGATTTTTGTTTCTTTACAATGAGGTGCAATCTGTACTGAAGGCTGTGGTTTTGACCTTCAAGAGTAAGTATTTTAAGTCCTCTTCACTTTAAGCAAGCAAGATTGAATCATTTGCATGTCACAGTTTATTAATGCATCTTCTTCCAATCCTGATGCAATGTTCTTCTTAATATAATCTATATTTTTGGATTATTTTTTCAACATAGAGATTGAATAAACATGGTGAAATGATACTACCCTGGTGCACACCTTTTCGGATTTTAAAATATTACCTCTTTGTTCTGTTTTAATGACTCCCTCTTGGTCTATGTCCATGCTCTGGAAGACCCATTCCTTGAAATATAATTCATAGCTTGTCATGAACAACTCAGTGAGAAGCCATGCATAGTCACTAAACCACAAGCAAGTATCTTTCTGGTAATCTCTACTTTCATCCAAGATCCATCTGATGTCAGCAATGATATCTTTGTTTCACATCCTCTTCTGAAAACAGCTTGAATTTCTGACAGTTCCATGTTTAGGTATAGTTGCAAGCATTAAAAAATTATCTTCGACAAAATTTTACTTGCTTGTGATATTAATGATATTCTTTGATGATTTTTGCATTCTGTTAGTTCACCTCTCTTTGGAATGGACACAAATACGGAGCTCTTTCAATCTGTTGACCAGATATTCCAAATTTTTTTTTTTTTTTTTTAGCACAGATGAGTGACTGTCTTCAATGCTGTATCAGTTTGTTGAAAGATTTCAATTTGTGTTCCTTCAGCTCTTAAAGCCGTGTTTCTTGCCAATACCTTCAGTGCAACAGGGTCTTCTTTCTTTAGTACCATTGGCTCTTGATCATATGCTACCTCTTAAAATGGCTAATCTTCATCCATTTCTTTTTGATACAGTGACTCTGTGTGCCTTCCATCTTCTTTTGATGCTTTCTGCATCAATCAATATTTTGTCCATCGCTGTTGTTGTTGTTAGGTGTCATAGATCAGTACCACCTCACAGCAATGCTATGGACAACAGAAAAATACACTGTCTGATCCTGTGCCAACCTCACAATTCTTGCTACATTTGAACCCATTGATGCTGCCACTGTGCCAATCCATCTCGTTGGGCATCTTCTTTTTTCTGACCCTTCGCTTTACCACACATGATATCCTTCTCTAGGGACTGGTACTTTCTGATAATATGACTGAATTATGAAAGATGAAGTCTATCCATTCTGACTTCTAAGGAGCATTCTGGATGTATTTCTTCCAACACAGATTGCCCATAGAATTCTTCAGTATTGCAAACTGAAGCTTGAAATTTTTCATCAAGTTTTTCATCTTGAGAAATTGTAAGCATGATCTTCCTTTTGTTTTTCTAACTCGTTACTTACACATTCCATTATAATACTTGACTTTGTCTTCGAGAGCTGCCCTTTGATATTTTCTGTGCAGCTTTTTTTACATACTCATTTCTTCCATTTGCTTTAGCAAATCTATGCTTAGAGCTAGTTTCATCCATTTTGATCTTTTCTTTCTTTCCTCTCTTTTTAATGACATGTTTTCTACCTGGATGATGTTCTTTATGTCATCCCATAGCTTTTCTAGACTTCTGTTATTAGCATCTAATGCATCAAATCTGTTCTTCAGAGAGTATCTGAATTCAGGTGAGATATGTTCACGGACATAATTTGGCTTTTATTTGACACTTTAAGATAAGCACTTGACTGTGAACCATAAAGTCAATGATTCTAACCCACCAACTGCTCCTTGCAAACCATATACATGGGCGCTATAAGTGGAAACCAACTTGACAGCACTTAACAACAGTAACAGATAGGCTTGTTTGAACTTTTTACAGATTCAGCCTAAACTTGCATATGAGCAACTGATGATTTGTTCCATAGGCTGCCCATGTCCTTGTTTTGGCTAATGATATTGAGCTTTTCCACTGTCTCTTACCACAGATATAGTCAAATTGATTTCTGTGTATTCCCTCTGTTGGGGCCCATGTGTATAGTCATCTTTTATGTTTTTTTAAAAAAGGCATTTGCAATGAATAAGACATTGATCTTGCAAAATTTATTATGTGATCTCCAGCATCATTTCTATCACCAAGGCAATATTTTCCAACTACCAGCCCTTCCTCTTTGTTTCCAATCTTCGCATTCCATTCACCATTAATTATCAATACATCTTGATTGTATGTTTGATCAGTTTCAGATTGAAGATATCAATAGAATTCTTCATTTTTATCATCACTGGCTTTTGTGGTTGGTGCATAAATTTGAATACAAAAACAGTGGTATTAACTGGTCTTTCTTGTAGGCATATGGACATTATCGGATCTCAGACAATACTACACTTAAAGATAGACTTTGAAATTTTCTTTTGTTGTTCCTGGCAGAGTAAACCATTGGATTGTTACATTCAAAATAGCCAATCCCAGTCTATTTAAACTCACAAATTCCTAGGATATTGATGTTTATGTGTTCCATTACATTTTTGACAACTTCCAATTTGTCTAGATTCCTACTTTGTACAAGCCATGTTCTAATTATTAATGGATACTTGCAACTCTTTCTCCTCATTTTGAGCTCTGCCACATCAGAAAATGAAGGTCCCAAAAGTTTTAGTCCAGTTGCTTCATTGCGGTCAACTCTACTTTGAGGAAACAGTTCTTCCTTAGTTGCATTAGAAGTGCCTTCCAACCTGAGGTATATGTTGGTGGTATTCATCATATTGTCAATTTCTGGCACTATATCTGGCAGTGTTCTGCTGCTATTAATAAGGTTTTCAGTGGCTGAACATTCAGAAGTAATCTGTCTCTTCTTCTTTCTAGTCTATCTTAATCTGGAAGCTCAACTGAAACCAAAGAACCATGGGTGATCCTGCTGATATTTAAAATACCAGTGGCATAGCTTCCAACATCACAGCAACACACAAGCTACCACAGTAAGAAAACCTGACAAATGAGTGTTGGTTTTGAGTAATATAATAGCATGAATATTGTGGCATACTACAATCACTGATTACAAGCATTGTTGTTGTTGTTGTTAGGTGCCATCAAGTCGGAACTGACTCATAGCGACCCCATGCACAGCAGAACGAAACAATGTCCCATCCCAGGCTAACCTCACTACCGCTGCCACACTTGAGTCCATCAATGCCGGCACCTGACCAATCCATCTTGTTGGGGGTCTTCCTCTTTTTCTCTGACCCTCCGTCTTACCAAACATGGTATCCTTATCCAGCAACTGTTCACTC